CATTAGTTTTTTGGGGGGCTTCTTTCATAGAAAACAGAATTGGTTTAAATTTGTTATTAATCAAAAAGGTATTTTGAAATTTGACTCATAAATGGCAAATTAGTCAGGCAAAAATGTCAAAAGAGATAAGAAAGCACTTAACGTGTTTACCTGATCTACTTTTGTTGGAACGTTAGAGGAAGGGGTTAAAATTGCCTTAGATTTAGTCTGTAATCATGTTTACATATACTTTTTACATACATATTACTAGGTGACCAAGTAAATAATTTTTATGACATATCTCCCTCTTTGACTTCACATGGACTGCTTTGATTTCTAACATAGAGAACCTGGATCTGAAAGACTTTATTCATTAAAAAAAATTTGATCTGTCAAAACTTTTTTGTTCCCTTGTCTATTAAGTACTTTTCCACCTTCTCCAATATTTAGAGCACATCTAAAACTCAAACCACATGTAAAGGTGAAACAGGTCACTATGTGTATATTCACATGTTAGTATAAACAAAAAAATAGAATAAGATTAATATTTTTTTCATAATTATAGTAAAAGCTAATGTAAAGAAACGTGTCAAAGAAACATTCAATTATGGTGTCATGGATTTGGTTGATTTAAGAGTTAAACTCTTTAACTCTTAAATCCAGACAAATTAAAACTAAAGACTCTGACCACTGCACAAAGCCTTAAACACATCCCAAAGACTTTTAACAGGATTTAGATCTGGCTTCTGTGGTGGCCGATCCATGTTTGATAGTGCTGTCTTGTGCTCCCTAAACCACTCTTTCACAATTCAATCCCGGATTAATCCTGGCATTGTCATCTTGGAATATGCCTGTGCCATCAGAGAAGAAAAAACTCTGGCCCACAGTGTAGTGGAAGACAATTATGGATTTTGAATGAACTATTCCTTATTCCTTCCACATGGATAGCACCTTTTCTCTCACTTAGCAAGTTAGTAGTTCCTTCTGTAAAATGTCTCAAAAGCACGTCACGTTCAATGTAGTAATTTCAAAGTATGCCTAGACACGTTCGAAGACTGATTCGTTCTCACCCTGAGATATACATCCGCAGTAAAAAATCAAGATGAAACTCATCATTAATATAGACTAGCTTAGAATCCAACTGCGAGAATGGATTAACCACAATATTTTTTTTATCGCCTGAGAAGAGTCTGGTGTTAATGCAGCTATTAACGCTGATAACGGCCCACGACTAATATCGGTTCATATATTATATGATGATTGGAATTCATCAATATCATTCATAATATTCAATAAAAGAATATGTTACATAACAATATTTAGCATAGTAAAAACTTTTATAACACAAGCTGTAAGTAAGATTCTCTCGCTAAGCTGTTAATAGCTATGCTAGCATATGTAGGGTGAACAGATATGACTGGACCGGACCGGGCATTCGAACCGAGCTGTAAGCTCTGGGGCTGGTCCGCACCCAACCCGGTGACGATATGCTTCTGTCAACAGACGGAGGGAAGCAAGGGGCCGCCGTTGTCCAGGCTACCGTCACCGAGTCGGATTTGGTCGCTCCGTCCCCCGCTGGCTCCCTGCACTGGACCAGCCCCGGAGCTAACGGGTTGGTTCTACTGCACTGTAGTCGGACATTTTTCAGATAAGAAAAGTAGGACATGTTAGGGAAAAAGAGAATGTCTGGTCACCAATGTTTCAGTGAATGAGTGCTTGTTGCTGTGATGCCTCTTTGCTCAGCAGCTTTGCTCGTTCTAAACCAACCAATCGGTGCACAGCTCATTTAAATATTCATGAGCCTCTCATAAAAGGAAGAAAACCTGTCGTTTCACTCTGGGGCTTATAACCAGGCTTGCATTAGGCCTCATAGAACAGCAAATATACCATTTTCAGCCCAACCAATGTTACACACCCTATTCAGAGACCTTAAAGGAATAGTACACCCAAAACATGATTAGCCTTCATTTTCTACTTACCCCCATGCTCAACAACACTCTGGAGTACTTTTTTGATATCTCAAATGCATCTGGAGATCTGGGAGGCTTCTTGCTGTCTGCTGACATTCAAATAATGGAGGTCTA